ATTGTGGCAAAATATATATAACTTAATATTTACCATTTTAACCAATTTTAAGTCTACAACTCAGCAGCATTACTTAAATTTACAGTCTTGTGCAACGATCACCGCTAATTATTTCTGGAACTTTCCATTGTACTATTTACAATATTTTCTTTAAGTCAATTTTTTTTTATTTAATTTAAGTAAACTTAATTTAAGAGGAAACTTTGCCACTATAAATGAAAAACCAGTGTCTCTTGATATAAAAAGAAGGTAACTATAAAAATAAAACAGTGAAAACCAGTGTATTAAATTCTACTAGATACTCATGGCTACAGAAGCCTACGGACTTATGGCCTGTTCTCTCTGTGGTGCAAAGGGAGATATGGGTGTTAAAGAGGAGTTAAGGGCATCCTCTTACCAAATGGAGCCTTTCTTATTGATATGGTGGGATTAGAAGAAATGAAAGGGGACTGCCTTCTCACACTGTGACTCAGTGTCACTGAATGTCTGCTGTGCACTTTAGAATCATGTCCTGTACCACCAGGGTGCATGGCTCACAGTGTGGGAAACGCTGCCAGAGTGCGTGAGAGCAGGGATTTGGGGGTGAAATTTCCATACAACATGTACTGTATGACTTGGAAAACTTACTTAAATTTCTGTGCCATAGTCTTCTCATCTGTGAAATGGGTGGAATTACCAGTCTCTTAGTTGTGATAAAATGGAATCATATATGTTAAGGATTTTGTATGGTTCCTGGGATATAGTAAATGCTCAACAAATGGCCATGTGGTCATTTTAAAGAATGATCCTTGTTTATACTTCTCCCAAAGCTTAGCATTACCTTAGAAGAGAAGTAGCTTGTGTACTCTAAAAAAAAAACCCCTCTCCAAAATCAGCACATGCCATTCTCTTGCCTCCTTACTCTGCTCCTCACGCAGGCTGTCAAAAAATCAGTCCCAGCTGAGTGCCAGACAATGTGTGGGACAGAGGCAGTGAGCACTGTAATCTGAAAAGTTAATTGGAAAGTAAGAGTGTTGCGCTGGGTGAGAGGCCCCTCAAGCACACAGGACCCTAGCTGAACCAGTTGGCATTCAGTGTCTCTTGCCTTAAACCCCATCGTTGGAATGTGCCTGTTGGCCCTGGTGGCAGGTCACAGTATACCTAACCAAGGTGGCATTGCTCAGAACAAGGCAGCACCACCAGGTGTTGGTAAGTGGAAACCCACATCATGTCTCATGAGCTGCAATCACAACCCCAGACCAAGAATAGTAAGTGACTCTGCTTCCTGCCCTGGACCACATCCACCGAGGAGGCAGAGCATAGACCTGGGCGAGTGCCTGCTCTGCCCCTTGCTTGCTTGCTGCATGACCTTAGCCAGGTTACTTCAACCCTTCAGGCACAGTGTTTCCATCTATAAAATGGGAATGGGCTATTGATTTCTGTCTCATAGAGTGATTGTGAAGATTAAATGAAATTAAGACTATTAAACAGTCATCATGATATTCAATAAATGGTAACTTTTATTGTTATCATTATTAGTAATAATAGGACATCTCTTACCAGCCCTCTTACCTAGTATGCCGCTTCATGTGGCTTGTTGTGAACCCAAGAGCATATATATACTCATTTTATTTAAAATTCATAGTTGTTTTAGATAAAACAATGTATAGACTCCCTTGTAGAGGAAAAATAAATGATGAACCTTTAGTTGTTGACAGATTATTATGACGTTGTTTAATATGTATAAACATATTCAACTTCTGTGCTGACTGTTCTTCCCCAACTCTGAAAGCAAAACAATGAAGGAGACACAAACACAGGTGTGAAATGAAAGGCACCTGACTACAGCTGTGTCACAGACGACGCTGGCTGATCGGCGCAGCGTCTCGAATGCGGCTCGAGGCTGTGGTGCTCACAGATTCTGCCAGGTGGGGGGCTATATTTTGGGACTTGGCTCTCCTCCCACATTTCTCTATATGAAGTATTGTGTGGGGAAATCTGTATTCGCTTGTCACAAATGCCTCATCTGCATATCGTCCTGCCCCCCTCTTCTTTCCCCATTAGTCTCTGCATTCAGCGTAGCGTGACCTTAGCTGCAAAAAGATCGCACGCACACACACACGCAGGCCCCACAGTCCTGTTGCAGGACCCAGTTATAACGTGGTCATCCAGATAAGCTGGAATATCTGTGCATTTGCATCCCATTTTAAAAGCATTATTCTCTAAATGAAAAGCCCAAGCACGGATTCTCAAAAGGACTATATCTGAGGACTTTGGGCCAGTTTGAGAAATATTGATTCACATCCTTCCTAGATCCCAAAGTATTTGAAGCAAGTTCCAACATGAAACAAAATATGAAAAAGAGAAATAGGCAAGACCGAGGACCTTTGTCTTGAGAGCATAGCAGCAGTTAAGAACCAAAATTGTCGCTGAGCTACCTGGCGGCAAGGGCAAAAGGTGAAACACACCATCATGCTAGCTTGTTCTTATTGTCTAAGAGAAAGCAGGCAAGTTCTCTGAAGAGACAAACTTTTCCTGCCACTGAATTCTAGGAGTATTTGCCACTAGGGTCCTTTATAGATGAGACTTTGGGGAGCCGAATGCATAAACAAAGTATTTTTCTATAATTTCTCCACAGTATCTCTAGGTCTCACTAAAACTGAGGATATATTGTTAAATTTTAAAGCAATGAGGCGACTATTGGTGCCTTAATAATACTGGACACTGGGGAGGATCCTTGGGGTTTTCAGAGTGCCTTTACTCAAACATTTGATTTTAGAGCCTTAGGACAGCAAAGGTGGTATTGTCTTCAAGGTGGTGAAGATACAAGTTTAAATAAGAAAGTTTGGGGCCATCTCACTCTGTCAGGTGGGTTTTAGTAGTGCTTATGTCTGGGTTGGCATTTCCTTCAGAAGAAACTTTGAATCTGCTGAACTGGTTGGACTCCGGCCCAGTCTGAAGTGTGCCATGGGAGGCTGACGTGGCTGGGAGAATCAGAAGGGATGGGGTTGTCAATCAGTGCCGCCAGGGTCACCCAGTGGAGAGGGTGGCATCCTGCCTGGCTCCCGGAAATGAATTAGCTGCTGGGAGCTATCCAAGAGGACTTAAAGAATAGACCTGCTGCAAGGAATTGTTTCCACGGCCCATCTGAGCTCTGGGGAATAGCTGCCAAGTGCTGCACTATTAGGGTCAATCTCATTTGTGCCAAGCTGGTGAAATAATTAGCCAACACTCAGTTGCTACTTTTCTTCTCACCCCACCCCCATTACCAAGGTGCTTTCTTTCTCACTGTGGAAAATATGAAAATACATGAAAGGTTGGAAGGAAGGAAGAAAATAGGGAGGGAGGGAAGGGCCATGCACAATCCAACCACAGTCAGCTTTTGCAGGGGGATGTTAGCACTGAGCAAGGGGAGTCAGGACTGGAAAGGAGAGGAGAGATAGGAGGATGGCTCCGATGCCTACTGAAAAACACTGTCACCCTCCTCGGAACTCCCAGGGCCCTCAGACTATCTCTTAGCACTAAATTCTGCTTGGATTCCTGTTGCACAAATAAGATCAGAGACCTGGACTCACTCAGCCAGGCCTTCTGCAATCATGCATCTTGGGGGAAAACATGGAGGGGGAGGAGCAGCAGGATCGTGTGCCTCAGTGCCCATCACACTCTGGGGGTGTGAGTAGACATCTGTCAACTCGTAAGTCAGGCTCTAGCCCCTCCCCCGGCTTGAACAGGTCTTGGGGGTCCTTGCCTAGGACCTTGCCCCAGCTCTGCTCCCTCACTTCAGCCTTCAGGATTGTGTGAACATAGCCTCTCCGCCAGCATGAACTGGGGTCTAGGGTGCAAGCCTGTGATTACAGCTTCCTGTGGGGACATATCCAACAACCACCCAGCATTCTACCAGGACTGATCACCAACCATGAGCCGTGCAGGGAGAAGCCAGCTCCTTCCCTTGGGTGGCCACCCTATAGGAGTCAGCCAAGCTAACCCTGACCTCTCACCCAGCCACCCTTTTAGATTGTGGGCTCTATGAAGGCAAGATTGATGTCTAATTCATCCTCATGTCCTCTCAGTGCCTAACATATTTGGCTGGCTCTGTAAGTGGTTTAGGAATGCAGACGGCAAACCCTAAAAAAGGGCGCTGAACCTTCCCTCTCCTCTTAACCACTCATGACCATTTATCTCTCCTTGAGGATCTGATTCAATCTTTGAACTATCTCCAGAAAAGTATAGGCAAACACACACACACACACACACACGCACACACACGCACGCACACACACACACGGAGAATCTTGCATATAGGTAGCCTGTCAATGGATGGACCCTGGCTAAGAGCCCCTGCCTTAGAATTCTGGCAGGTTCCATTTACATATCTCAACACCATCTCAGGCATGTCACAACCCACATATCTACATACTCTTACTCACCTGCTCTGAATCTGTGCATGCTCTAATCTTTCCACAGTACAGGTGTCGGCTGTGGTTCTGATCTGGAACCTGGTTACACTGATGTAAGATTTGTTGAAAATGATTGCTTTTCGCTGTTGCTCTGGAGGGGCAGCCATGACCCTGAGGAATCATGGCTTCCTGGACAGCACAGGTTTTACTTGATGTTCAAAGGATGACCTTTAAGTGGATAGTCCATTCTTGACCCCACCTGAGAAGAAGGAACCTCCTTTCCTCACAACCACCAAAGCCAGCCTTGCGAGAGGTCCTGAGGTAAGGCTTCCGGAAGCCTATTGGTTGAAACTGGACTTGCCAGCCTCAGGCAGCAGCCTGCCTCAGACTTTCCTCCCCCCACCAGCATCCTCTTGCTGTCACTTTACCCTGTGGCCTACGTGGTGGTTGGCTTTTCCCCATTAGGTCCTCTTTCACGATTTCCCGAGTCACTCCCTTCAGCTTGTATTTGTTTAACATTCAGAATCATTTCCTATTTAGTAATGTTTGGGGCTTTCATGGTGTGGAAGATGCCATCAGTTCTCCTTCCTTCTGTCCCATTCAACATTGTTCTCTGTTCTATAGATTCTGGCTGTGACTCAGTCACCGACACTGAGACCGAGGACGAGAAGTTCCTGCCCTACTCAAAGCAGCAGAGCCTGCCGCTGGAAACTTCACCCGGGAACCTGATGGTGGTGCAGCCAGACCGCATTCGCTGTGGGGTAGGCACTCCTGGGGCCGGTGGATTGATGTCAGAATATGGGTTTCAGGCTTCCCAACGGATGCATTTGTTAGAGTAAAGGGAGTGGGGTTCTCCTGTTGCACCTCAGGGTAATCCCAGCCTTCCTGTGGGGTTTCCCTGTACAGTAGCTGCCCTGGGAACCCCAGTACCTGGGCTTTGGGCACACCTCACTCCTCTAAATCAAAGAGAGAAGAGACCAGGAATGTTTGTGCCATCAATCTAAGACTTTTAGTTCATGAATCCAAAACTTAGAACATGTGAGAGGCTAGAAGACATGAGCATTATAAGACACTTAAGCCCCTCGTGGAGTTAGAGGCCCAGCTCTGTTCCTGCTGGCATCAGCTTAGTGCCGGGAGAAAGACCTGAGGCATTCTGAGAGCTTACTTCTCCATCTACTGGCCGTTGACATGGCCCAAATGAGTGCCATGGAGCTCGATAGCTTAAACTTGCTGGCAAACACTGTTTGCTAAAGGGATAACATTAATGCCTCTGCATAATGTATCATTTTCAGGGGTGGAACGTAAGTTAATAAGCGACTTGCATGTGAGGGCCACTGATAGGCCACTGTCATTTGAGGGCCACTGATGGGCCACTGTCATTTGAAGTCTACTGTAGTATTGATAGTTTTTCATGATCTTTCCTTTCCTGATGAGCAATGTGTGATATTAGTTCAGAGCAGCAAAATGCTTCCCTGTGGATACAAGCCCTTTGCTAAGTTTGCCACTGTGGGCTCCTTGAGATGAGAGGGCGGGAGAGCTGTGGCTATGGGAAGTACGAGTTTCCTTGACCTGTGAGTGGTTTTCCATGTAGTCTGAGGTCACAAGGCAAGGATTCCCTACATGAGGGTTGCAAACTGCTGCTTTGGGCTGGATTGAACCCAAACACGTTTGTTTTGGTCTGCTCAGTGTTTTAAATTCTAGGCATGAGAATCTGTGCTTCCAGCTTTCTTTGCATTAGAATCTGGTAATACCAGACCTGAGATGACTGGCTGGGCTGAGCATGCATCTCCCAGTTTGCTCCATACTTCTTCCTGCCTCTCATCCTGAGATCAGGCTGGTGGGTGCCTGTTGTTGGGGGGGCTTGGAACTAAAGAACGATACCCTTTGCATGCCTCCTTGATTCTCCAGGTTTTCGTTCCCCTCCCATCCTGGCTCCCACTAACCCAGGATAAGTACTCCTTGTTGCCTACTCTAGATCTCTGGGTCCTGGGGCAGCGGGGCTGGGGTTGGGTCCTGACTATCAATAGAGGAGACACACTGGTTCTCTCTGGCTCCCCACACTCCCTGGGAGGAGGAGCTGGTGGGACAGGGCTGGGCCTTTAGCAGGAGTCAGGTTAACTACCAACACATTCACACTCAGCCTCAGCAGCCCCCAGGAGCCAGGACCACACCTCTCTGTCACCTGTTGTGAAATCACAGCCTTTGTCATGAAGGGCACTGTGAGGACTTCCTAGCATAATTTTAGGATGAACATTTGGGGATTAGCTTTGACCAGAAATATCTCCTTTTCACTTTTTTGGGGAGATCTGTCCTTACGAATTCAACGTCTTGGAGGAACATTCCCCAGCACAGTAAAACAAGATCATTCCATTTGGCAGGCTCAGCAAGAGAGCTTAAAGCAAAGCAAAATAACTATTCAGGTTGCTCAATGCCTTTGGAAAATTAACCTTCCAATAAGTTATTTTTGTCCTTCCAGTTGCAGAACAAGAAGGCTTCTCTAGGCTAGTGCCACTCACACTGTGAGGTGCATGAGCCACCCGGGGCCTTGGTAAAATACAGACGCTGGTTTAGTGGGTCCAGGTAGGGCTTGAGCATCAGCATTTCAGACAAGCTTCCAGGGGAAGCCAATGCTGCTGGTCCCTTCGCCTCATTTTGGGCAGCCAGGCTAGTCTAGAACAGTGCTTCTCCAACTGTCTGTGGTGAAGAATTTTTTTTAAATTTTGTTTTTAAATTTTTATTTCTGCCACAGACCGATGCTTTTATCAAATACAATAAAAAAAAAAAGAGATGCTATAAAAATGAAATCATAAGACATATCAAATATAAGCCTCAAATATAGGTTTAACAGATATAAGATTACTCCATCAAATTGTTACAAAGATTTGTCAATGTTCACTCTTGGGTTTTGTAACTTGTATTGTTGGGTGGGACCTGCAGCAAACAGTGGCTGCCCAGCCCTGGACTGCAGACCCCACCCTGTTCTAGAACAGCCTTCCTAGATAAGGCTGGGGCTTGGGGAGCTGGGAGACTCTCTGGCTCTGCACTCTAGTAGGGGACCCAGGAGGGACAGGGGATGATGACTGGTGTCCCATTCCAGGCAGAAACCACTGTCTACGTCATCGTGAGATGTAAGTTGGATGAGAGAGTGGCGACGGAAGCAGAGTTTTCTCCCGAGGATTCTCCCTCCATACGGGTGGAAGGCAGGCTGGAGAATGAATACACCGTTTCCGTGAAGGCCCCCGGTAGGTAGCCCCGTGCACCCCAGAGACGGGGCGTCACCGGGGGAGAGGCTTTCCTTTTCTTGTCCTGTCTTTACTCAGCAGCTGTGCCAGTGTTAACCAGGATTTGGATTTGGTTGGCATTTTCTATTTAAAGGAAAAGGAGTGGCAGAAACATCTATGTGTGATGGGGAAAGAAATGGCTATATTAAATTTTTATCTCATCGTAAAGTTAATATATTAAACTTTTTGGAAATTAGAGAAAAGTCGGGAAAAAAGTCATTTCGAGCCTTTATTCACCATTGTTTAAATCATAGTTGTTTCAATAGTATCTGTTACCTGATGTTCTGTTTCTTTTTATGTAATCCTATATTTATTCTCTCTCCATTCCTTTACCCCCATGCTATTACATGGATTTTGTAACTTTACATGTTATAACACATTTTTCTGCTACGAAATTAATGTGTGCTCAATACAGAAAAGCTGAAGAAGAGAGTAACCATAAAGGAAAGCAAATAGGAAACGACCCATATGCCCACCCAAAGGAAATCACTGGTTTCTCTATTTTCCCACATCTGTGTACATGGCCTCATCCTGCCTCATAGCTCACTTTCATTACCTAGGAAATACCTCTGAGTGTTTTCTTACATTAATAAATATTCTTTTACAACATTATGCTTAATGGTTATGAGGTAATCCTTTGTATAGATGCACCATAACTTATAAAACCGGTTTATTGTGTTGGACTTATTTCTTATAACCATAATTTTTAAAGCTACATCATACTCAGTTGAAAAGAAGTCTCATCTTTTAATTTTTCATTTCCTCATTGTTGCATATTTATGTAATTTCTGATTTCTTATGGTCTTCTTATTGTTTTAAATGATGATATATTGAGCATCTTTATGCTAGCTGGTGTCTTTTTCCCCTTTTGTATTTAGGATTATTTCCTCCAGATGGAATCCCTGAAACAATGGGTATTTTTAAGGATCGTGGAAAATACTGCTTTCTGAAATATTGCTACTATCAAGTTTATTTTGCTATACCATCACCAACACTAGGCATTATCATTTTAAATATTTTTGCTAATTTGATGTGTTTTTTAAAGTGGCCCATGGTTTTCATTTGCATTTCTTTGATTACTTGTGAGGCTGAGTATTTTTCCATGTTCTCTACTTGCCGCATTTCCTCTTTTGTGAATCGAATCTTTGTGGTTGGGGTATTTTTAATTTTTTCTTTTCCCCTCAAAACCCCTTCCTGTGATGCAGAAGAGAGCACGCCAGGAGAGCTCATAGTAATGACAGCACAGCAGTGACTCAATTCTACTGGCCAGATATGGCGAAAGTGTGGAGTTTGGCCTGCCAGGACCCCTCCCACATTCTGGCAACCACTGGCCACTGTATAGAGTGCTTTAAATTCAACTCTTCTTCCTGTTTATTGCAGCACTGGGCCTATAGTACTAAACAAAACATGAAAATCATTCAAAAATTGAATTTCAGACCCAGTGAGAATAATTCCCCTGACCTAGAGCCCTGTCTTGTGCTGGTCTGTTTATCTCTTTCTGCCCCTGCCCTCACTTCCCTACCCCCAGTTCACCTCCAAGGTCTTTCTTCCAGCCCCCAATTAATTTCTTTACCCTTAAGATGAATCCATAAACGCTTTCCCCTGGACACTTGTTCTTCCTGGGCACTTTTATAGTATCTTTTCTTCTGTTCAGCCCTTTCATCTGGGAATGTTTCTCTGAAGATATACTCTGGGGATTTAGTGGTGTGCGAGGCTGCTATCAGCTATTATACTGACATGGAAGAAATTGGGAATTTATTGTCCAATGCTGCAAATCCTGTGGAATTCATGTGTCAGGTAAGGATGTTGAAAGGAAACCTGAGTTTTCCGGACATGTGATTTCTGGACATGCTCATGGTTTATCAACCTTGAATCTGCTGGGTGGGAGACAGCTTGACCTAAAATCTGACTGTCTTCCCTTTTGTATTCAGGCCTTTAAAATTGTGCCCTACAACACAGAGACCCTTGATAAACTGCTCACTGAGTCCCTGAAGAATAACATCCCTGCAACTGGACTGCACCTCTTTGGAATCAACCAGCTGGAAGAAGAAGATGTGATGACAAGTAAGTCAACAGCCAGACCTCAGGAAACCACCCGTGGGTTGATTCCAGTTTGCTGGTTCAGCACCCAGTTAACCCATACATCCTGCTGCTTCCTGCTCTCCCCCTTCTTTTGAGAAGGGTTCATTCCTCACTGGCTAGCCAGGGATTCTGCTACATTGTAAATCTGAATACCTTTCCCCCTTACTAAAAACCCTTTGTAAAGCCCAAACTCCTTAGCCTGTTTGCAGAGTCCTTCCCAAAGGCTCCTACTCATCCTCTGCACTCTCTCCCTTGGATTCTGCGCTCTGCTCTGCTAAAAGTATGAACTCCTTTCACCTAATGAAAAGTCTGCCCTGCTTCTTGCCACCTTGACTCCTGGGAATACAGTTCTTCCTGCCAGTCTTGGTTGCCATTTACCTGGCTCACTTCTCTTTGCCTCCCTGTAGCTGCTTAGGTTGCACTTTCTCAGGAAGACCTTGAGCCTTCAGTAGGTTCCATCTACGTGCTGTGGGCTCCCCTAGCATGTTGGGTATCCACCGTCCTAGAGCTCCTCGCCTGCATCTGTCCTCTTCAATAGCTCAGTGAGGGCCGGGACTGAGCCTGGGTGGCTCAGTGTAGGCTCAAAACAAGTATTTATTTAACGAGGGAGGAGCAGCCTTGGCTGAGCATGTGACATGGCAGGAGCTAGAGAACCACTTGCATGGGGAGGGTGCCTGGCATGCTGGGCAGGATGCCTGTTATGGTGCTTCTGGGGGCACCACTCTTCCTTCGTGCCGTAGCTGCACTGCACATGGGACCTGCGCCCTGGTTACCCTCTGCCTGTGCTCCATCCTTCCATAGCCTAAGAGAACCTAGGATGAGGTTATATCACCTTCACGTTCGTCTCCTGGGGGCAATCTCCTGTTGCCTCTCCCCATTTTCCTGCTGTGGAATGTTCTTGCATCACTTTCAGCAGGAGTTAATATTCTCTATTCTTAAACTTGGGGCTCAGGAAGGAGTATGTCATAGCCTGACAATATGAGATCCTGGGGACATTTACAGATCCTTCATCCCAAGGATTATATCCTGGTGAACAGGAAGCTAGGTTTGTCTTATTAAACACAAGACACACACACACACATATATAACATATATATTAAAAACATATATATGTACACACACAGAGACATATATATGTTTTTATAGATACATATGTATATTTATCTATCTTTCTATGTGTATATATATTACTGTTAGGTTTAGAAATAAACTTTTATGAAAACAAGACAAAAAAAGAATTGTCCCCAAGCTCTACAACAAACATGTCTGTTTTGTTGGTTGAATTTAACCTGCTGTATTCAGATATTACACCAGGTAGAGGAGGTCATGGGGATCCAGTGACTCTCAGCAGTATTTTGTTTCTCGTGAATCAGAGGTTAATGTATATCCCAGGGTTCACATGCATTCATGCAAACATTCAAAACCTGTTTTAAACAAGGACCTTACTGAACACTGCATATTAATCCTCCCACGCCCCTTTAAGATTGTCTGAAAATATTTTCTGGTTCAAAACTAAGGCCCAGGGAAAGGCTAAGCAACATGCTCAGGATTACTTGACATACTTCATGAAATTGGGAATAAGAGCTGTGAAGATGGACTTCTTTCTTTTAATCAGCACAAAACAATTGCTTTAATGTAGCCTGAAATGTGCAGAGAAGGTCAAAGCATGACTCCTGTTTTACTTTGTGGCTGCTATTTAAGCCTTTAGAAAGCACATTTTGAATTAGTATAATTTCTCAGGATTCTCCAACCCTTTTAGAGGAAGAAGGTAGGATATTAATGATTAGATTTGCTAATTAATTAGTGTATTTCTTCTGTCATCTGAGGGCATAATTTTCAATGATGCCCTGAAGGAAGCTGTAAGATGTTAGGTCAGTCAACCAAGAAGTAATGATTGAGTGCCTGCTGGATGCCATGCTAGGCATGCTAGCTTCATCTCCCAGAACAAGGGTGCCCTCTGTCTGCATTGTTATCTGCCCATTCAGTTTCCTTGACATTTTTTCAGATCAGAGGGATGAAGAGCTGCCCACCTTGCTGCATTTCGCTGCGAAGTATGGACTAAAGAACCTCACTGCTTTGTTGCTCACCTGCCCGGGAGCCCTACAAGCATACAGTGTGGCCAACAAGCACGGCCACTACCCCAACACCATCGCCGAGAAACACGGCTTCAGGGACCTGCGGCAGTTCATCGATGAGTATGTGGTAGGTCGAGGCGGGAGAGGTTCCAGGACTGAAAATGCACTGCGTGGTCCTGAGGCTGCCTGTCCACCAGAGACGTCATCACATTTCATCTCTAGCATGCCTCGTGTGCCTCATCTGGGAGGGCCAGTATGTGTGGGCTTAAGAAACAAGCCCTGGAGCCCTGGCTGGTGTGGCTCGGTTGGCTGGAGAGTCATCCCATACACCAGAAGGTCACGGGTTCGATTCCCAGTCGGGGTGCATACCTAGGTTGTGGGTTCAATTCCTCACCCAGCTGGGGTGTGTGCGGGGGCAACCGACCGATGTTTCTCTCTCTCTCTCTCAAAAAATCAATGAACATGTCCTGGGGTGAAGATTAAAAAAGAAACGAAATGAACCCTGGAGTCACATGCACCTGGGTCCAAGTTCCCACACTAACACTTGTCAGTCGCGTGACTTTGGGCAATCCATGTGTCCTCTCAGTTTCCTAATATGCGGAAGGAGGATAATTATAGCTCTACCCATTAGGTTCTTTTGAGGATAAAAGTAAACAGTGTAGGTAAGGTACTGAGGCCCACTTTTAAAGAATTCAAAGAAATGCTTATGGGATGAGTCTGCTGAAGGCTGGATGCTGAGTCCTCTTCCCCAGTCACCTCCCCACCCACTTCCAAGGCACCCGGGGGGCCGCTCCCAGCTGGCGCGCCCACCGCCAGGCCCAGGTGAGCTGTACTAGGATTGGTTCCTTCCCTAGCGGAGAACACTGTGAAGCTCTGCACCTGAGGTTTTGGGGGCCCAGCTGTGAGGTTCCACCTTCTGCGGACAGCCTGTGTCTTCCTGAGTCTCTGCCTGTCGTAGGTAGATAAGCCCAGTTCATCTGCCCACCAGGCTTTGGACCCTCAGACCCTACTTCTTCATGACTTCTGCGTCCGTCCTTCTTTGAGTGTAATCTCTCCCCTTGGCTAGACTTTAGTCCATGCCCCAGTATTGCTTCCATTGTCTTGGAGGTAACTGCTCGTCCTGACTCTACCCTTTTCTGGTTTTCCTCCATCTTCACGATTCACAGTGGGGATGTGAGGGCATCTCAGCTTCTTGAATGGGGCTGAGACCTCAAAAGGAATAGTAAATGCAATCCTGTCTTACTTGCTACCTCCAGAACAGGAGTGAGCCTGACGCCGCCCCAGAAACTTAACTCTCTGCTCCGTACCTGACAGTCTACAAGGCAGTGACTCACGGTTGCATATAGAGGGGTCTTTCCAAAGTTTGGGGTGATTAAGTATATTGAATGAATAGAATAGCCTGAGTGCCTGGTCTGGGCATCGTTGACATAAATGAGGCTAAAGGTGCTCACAGCCTGGGAGTGTTTACTCAGCTTTACTTTGAAGTCACAAATGTATAAAATGCAGTGTTTCATTTCCATGCCAACAGTTCTTATTAAGGACAATATTGGGTTCATAGTGATCACTGCTATCTATTGAATTTATTTGATTGGCAAGTGCATGATCTCATTTAATCTTCACCACAATCTTTTGAAGTTGACAGAATTGTTATCTCCCTTTAACAGTCAAGGAGAAGGTCTTAGAAAGGCAGAGTAACTGTGCCTATAGTCACACACTAGTAAGGGCGGAGGTAGGATGTGAACCTGGTTTGCTGCAAAAACTGGGGCTTGCTGTTCTACCTACTGTGTGTCACAGGGAGGCTTAATGATGTATTTCCAGGTTGCACTGAAGTTAGTCGGGCTCACATTTCTCATATCATCTTTGTTCTCTGACTGTAATCCCCTTCAACCAATGCATCTTTAGCATTGCTGCCAAAAGGTTGTCCCTACGTGTTGTTTATGATCTCTAAGAACTGCCCCATTTCCTCTTTCCGCCACATCAAAACCAAATGCCAGATCTTGAGTCTCCAGCACTTCACAGCTGCCACCTGGTCCACTCCTTGGGTCTCATCAGGAAACCACCAGGGAGTGTCTATAGCAGATTAGCTCTCTTGGGACAATGATGATGGAAATGCATATTTCTGTGGGTTGATGCTGAAATAAGGATTGTGAAACACTGAAGCTTCTTATTAGGAAAAGTTGTGCAGAGGTTTCACAGAAGCCAGCTCTCCAGCTTCACAATCACTTGGGGACAGAGTGACAGAGGGCAGCCTGTCTGACTTCAGGGCACTTCATCCAAGACCATCTCTCCTCCTGGGCACACAGGATATAAAGCCAGAGGGCACTTTGGAGAAGGGCGCTGTCAGGGCTCTGGAGCAGCCTGCTGGAAGGAACAGGGACGAGTGAATGAGGTGCCCCAAGGACTCTGACTACACTTAAGGGCAAGCACACCTTAGCTGCAGCCCCGTTTATCCCATTTGAATTCCCATGTGGCTAGTCAGTAAGCGTCACACCCTTGAGTGTCATTTGTTCCCTTTTGAGGAACTGCTAGGAGGTAAGGGAAAGGTCAGACCTAGGATTGCAGGCCCTGTGTCAGGTAAGGCGTTGGATTTTTCTGAACTTTGGTTTTCTCATCTGTGAACTAGGGAATGTTATCTCTCTCTCAGGAAGTAGTAGAAAGAATGATATATGATGTCTAGTCAAATACAGCCAGTGAGCATTGTACCTACACATAGTAGATGCTCAGGAGAAAGTTGTCAATTTGTATCGTCTTGGTCATTGGACATTTAACGAATGTCTGTTGCTTGCATGACTCTGTGCTTAGTGCTGGGGGAAGAGACAAAGATTCAAACACAAAACAAACAACAAAATAAATTGTAGCCTGGCTTCAAGGAGCTTTCAGTCGGGTGGGAAACAGAGATGCACGCACAGTGGCCACAAGCCCACTCGGGGTGCTCAGTTGCCCTTGCGTCCCCTGTTCTCTCTCAGGAAACTGTGGACATGCTGAAGAGTCACATTAAAGAGGAGCTGATGCAAGGCGAGGAGGCTGACGACGTGTACGAGTCCATGGCCCACCTTTCCACAGACCTGCTCATGAAGTGCTCCCTCCACCCGGGCTGTGACGAGGAGCTGTACGAGTCCATGGCTGCCCTCGCTCCAGACGCCACTGAAGACCTCTGTGAGTAGCGCAGCCCGGGGTTGCTTCCATGTTTCCGCTGACAGATGGCCTTCTTCATTCTGGCCGATGGGGGGAAGTCCCTGCCTACTGCCACCTTACCCCAGAGAGATGAAGATCCTGTTCTGTGCAAAGTTAGAGCTGTCCTCAGGGGTTGAGACAAGCGGAATCCTTCTCCACACTTCCTCAGCTGTGACTGCTGTGTGACTGGAAAGTTTAAGCAAGGGCCTGATGAAGGCATTGCCTTGTGATCCGAGAAGCTAAATCAGCAGCTTTCAACACCGTCAGTCCCCACGGGCCCTTTTTACAGCAATTTGCAATGGATGCCCCCTTTACTACCCTGATAAGAGTTTCATATATAATGTAACCTACCAACATATGAAATTTTTAGAAATCAAGTATACACCCTAAATGAAATATGAAGGAGAACTATAAATATAAACTAGAGCTCATAAAGAAGGAGAGGAAATTCTCAGGCGTGCCTCACATGAGGACGTAACGAAATAGATACAGGCCCTGTGCTCAGAATCACTGCCAGTGTCCTGGCCTCACGTGCTGACCGGCACGTGTCTATTGCATTGCGGACTCGGAGACCGCCAGCAGCATTGCTATCAGAACCTGAATTTTCCTAAATGGTGAACGATTCTTCACACTCTCCTTTTCATTTTCATAACAATTGAACTCCTGGAAAATTCAGTGCATATGAAAACCATGTAAAAACACAAGTTGTGTTTATATACAGAGTAGTTTGGTTTTAGGGCTCAGAAAATTATAAGCAGATTTTTTATTGATTTTTTTATTGGATAAATGTATAATAAACTTATCTTCAAAATATCATATCTCCAGGACATGATCTTTCTTATAAGTTACTTAACAAATTTTGCCTGTTTTTGTTTACATTAGTTGTTTTCTTCTAATAGTAAAAGTAATACATTCTTACAAAAACTTGAAACAAAATAGAATATATAACAGAATTGTTATTGAAAGTCCATATGACTCTACCCAACCAACCAATACAGCACTAGTAATTAGTTTGGTGGGTATATTTGTCCATATTTTTTCCTTGTGCCTTCTGATATTAAATAGAAAATATAAATATAAACAGATATGTATAAACACACACATATGTATAAATATGTATCATAGGCAGTTTTTTAACCTATCTGTTTGTCTGGGGAAGTATTTAAAAGCCATGAGGGATATGAAACACTTCCTGTGCAGGGCTGTCCCGCACATTGCAGGGTGTCTAGTGTCTTTCTCCCATGTTCTGCTAAATGCCAGTAGTGTCCCACTATCATGGTGACAACCGAAAACACTCTCACAGATTTTCCAAACCCCCTCTAGAGGGCACTGCCACTCCCCTTGAGAACCACTGGCCTAGGAAATGTTGATTCCAGTGCACACACCGGGGTTGAAGCAGGAGGACCATGCCGTCGGCCCTCTAAGAGCCTTCTTAATATGTTACCCCAGTTGCTATCCAATGCTAAGCACTCTGAAACTCTGCCTAAGACTTAGCTCTCCTTCCCTCTGGTCTATGTAATAGATTTAAGAAAGATAAGACAAAATATCCATCAACATGCCCAGCTCTATTGATGAAGGGTTTTCTGGAATGGGCGAGATTGAGCATTGCCAACGTGCAGCCTGAGAAGACAGTAGGGCCCTGGGCCCACAGGGAGGTGGGCCTGGCTTTCCCATCCATGAATGGAAAAGCAAGAACCAAGAGGGTACTTTGGAACAGGAGGTGTGGGTGTCTAATGGGGCCAGAGGCAGACCCTGACAGTATCAGTACCCTTGACTCTGCAAACCCAGTGCCTGGAAGGTGTAGTCCAGTGGTTGTTAGGTGCTTGCCAGTTAGGTTGACTGATCCACTGAAGGAGGGAGGAGAAAGCGGGAAAGAGCAGTAGAAGCTCCCTTTAACCACCTACCTGGGAGGACTGGGAGGACTGGGAGGATTGATGGGCACTCTTCCCGAAAGAGCCGTGAGCTGGCCGGGAGGTGAGGAGAGAGGGTGCCATCCCCACCTTCCAAATCCTTTATCTCACCAAGTCTTCAGAGCAACTGTCCAAGGATGTTTTTATTGACCTATCCTTCACACATGAGGAAACCGATGCGCAGAGAGGTTACACACCTTTCCCAAAGTCTCATAGCTAATAGGTGATAGAGCCCAGATTTGAACCCTGGTCTCTCTGTCCCTGGGACTGTATTCTTTATTCTGTGCCAGAAATTTCCATCTAACACGACAAATTTTAGTCCTGTTTTCTTTCAGAAAAACCATGTAGCCACTGCAGCCCTGCTTGTTCTTTCCGTGGCCCAGACATTAGCCCACGTAGCCTCTGGCGTCCCCTGCCCTTGCACATTCATCCACCCCCATGTACCCAACAAGCATTTCTGGAGCATCTACTATGTTTCAGCGACTTGCTTCACCTGGTTGATGAGGAGGCAAGGGGGGCTAGGACACAGTCCTTTTCAATCTTGGACAGAAAGCCCTTCACAAAAGAACATTTGGGAAGCCAGAGACCATGCCTCATCACTCTGCCCTGTGTCCTTACACAGGCATGTGAGGCACGTGAACAAGAATCCCCACTTTACTGGCAGTTTAGTGTGGACATAGAGCCTTGACACCTCTTATCCCCCTCGGTGCTCCTCCATGTGACATTGTCCCCCTGCCCCCCGAGTGAGTGGAAAGCTGTGGGGAATGCTGAGGGTAGCCTCCCGTTACTCCTCGTGGTGGAAACAGTGAGCCCCTCCAGCACTTCCCAAGGCAGCGGAGTGCCACAGAGCTAGCCTGGTTTGTGGCCAATTGGCCACTTGTAAAGTCACCTGGGGTCAGGGCGATTCTGGTTGCCATAGAACTAGAGTGAGGCCACCCATGGGCAGGCTGCAGAATTTGGTGGCTTTGGGGTGGGGACGGGAAGCCCACTGTATTTTTCATTTGCCTGATCATATAAATTCTAGATTTTCTGATTCTCGGCATGACTTGGTTTGTGCTCTGTCTCTGTGGTTTAACCTTGAAAATGACCATTCACCCACTGGCCCAGCACCTGGAGAGGAACCATCCATTTTACTACCAGTGACTCTCTAGGGGAGAAGGTAGTTCAGTTCATACATAAGGAGGACAAACTGATAAATCTAAGATCCATATTTTCAACACGACCTGGCACATTAATATCTCAAAACAGCTGCCGGCTGTCAAGTCAACCGACAGTTTTTAATCTGTTATCTCACCTGACTGTCCTTGGACTTGGAGGATAAAATTATCCTCATTTTACAGGGGAGAAAATGAAGGCTCCAAGATTTAGTAACTTACTTAAGTCCTATTGAAGGAGAACTGACTCAGGAATCTGGGTCTGCAGATTCCCAGGGGAACCTGTCCTGTCCTTCTAGGGTCTGCACTTGCCAGCTTTGGGGCAGACACTTAGGAGCTGTTTATCTAAATAGCTGAGTTTATCAGTGCCACCTTTGTTAGCATTCAACCCTAGGGGCTGAAAATAAAAATTAAGGAATATAGTGTTCACTCATTTATTTTCTCACTTGCTCTCAGGACAAACGTGGAGGTCAGGCTTTTAGGTCATCTCCTTTGGAGGTCATTTAACTGTGTTGGGACAAATCTGCCTCTTCTGACTTGAGTTTTGGAAAAGGGAGAGCAATGAAGCCCTCTTCTCCAAAGGGGGCCCAAAACAACCGCTAAGTAGAAAGATTGTCAGGGAAACCCACAATGTTGAATGGAGGGGGCTGGGGAGCAAGGTGGGGTTCTAGCACTGAGATGTTATGATTCCACTCCAGTCTTTCCTTCCCCTTGAACTTGCGTGGGTGCATGCACGTGCGCATGCACACATACAAACACACACACATACAAGCCTACATGCATACATGCACAACCCTCTCCCACTCAGGGTCTTTAGTTTAGATATGCTGCCACCAGGTGGCAACTACAAGTCTCTGTTATCAAACCTTCCACTTTGCTCCCAATTCTCTTGAGAATTTTTTGTTCAAGATCCCACAGATTTAAACCATCAACGTCCTCACCTTACTGTATAAGAAATAAATGTCTTTATTAAGGTCAAGCTTATGCAAACACTACATAATAATCAAGGCACACCTCTCAAGGTGTTTTCACTACCTCCTGATCTTTTTCACATTTAGTTCTTTTGCCTCTGTCCTTGCCTTCAGAGAATGGTGCAGTGGTCCTGGTGGCCCTCAGACTTAGGTAACACATTTTGTGCAGAAAGCTTCACCCAATGACTGGTCACTTCCCTGAGGCTCTGGGTACTGAGGCTTCGGGAGCCATTTCTGGGAGGCCCTTGTCCAGCTGTTTGCAAGGTAATCTGCTTGTAGATTTAGCTCCGCTTAAATATCTCGGAGGCATGTTTTTCTTCCAAAGGAGAAAGGAGCAAAAGGTGAAATGCGTAATATCTCGCTACTGTACACTCACAGGAGTCACTCTAATCCATCCCACAGACGACTGTCCTGCTGCATGCGACTCCTGGCTTGAACTTGCTTTTGCACCCCTGCTGCCTCCGCCCAGGTCTGAGGCTCAAGTTTGTGTGTGGCAGAGAGCTCACTTAGCCCTTAGCAACCCCCTTGGTAACTGGCGTCTTTGTAACAGATCATCCCCAGCGTTTTCTTTTTATACCTGAGCTCTCTGATTACAGCCCCTCTCTGTGAGCTGGGTCCCTTTCAAGCTGGGTCCCCTTCAAGCTGGGGCCTTGCAGCCCAGCCATGTCAGGTCTGAGCCCAGCTGAAGGAGCATTTGAAAGCAAAATTGTTGTTGCTGATTTGCTTCTGGAACATGCCGCCTTCCCTGTCTCTACCCTTTTATCTCAGAAGTTTTCTTTCCTGTTGCTGCTGAGGCTCTGCCATCCGCCTGCTTCCCGTCTTGGGAAGGCTCTGGCTGGTAGAGCCAAGAAATGCTTTAGGCGCAGTGGGGCTGGATGCAAGGCATGAGGTCTTACCAGCAAGGAACTCATTCTGTTCCTGTCCTGTCCAGGGCCGACACTGACCCAGCGGAGCAAAGAGAGGCTCAGGGCACCTCCTGACTTCTATTGCTTTTTATGCTCCAAACGTACAAAGAATTGTGTTGGGGACATAGGCATATAGTGAAATCTACTGGACTGAATGTTTTAAAGTTAATATGATAAAATCCCCACCACCGGCAGTGAACCTGCTCCCCTCTGGACCCGCACATGCTCCCCATGGGGCACTGCATGCAGACCACTGTGCACTGTGCTCATGTACACTTTCCTCTGCTTACCGCTCCTCCCTCAGTTAGGAGGATGCATTATCCACAGTACTGTACACAATAGGTGCTCAATTATTTCTTGAATTTGAGAGTACCAGAAAATAAGAAGCAATCCTAGACTCTGTGGTGTGGAGTAGTTTGTAGACATTCCAGCGCAGACTTCACTTTCCCGATAGGTGGTAGTGAGACATCTGTTAGATGTCCCTGAGTGTGGGACATCTCAGGGTGGTACTAACCCCTTGGCTGCTCCAGGCAGCCTTCTGTTTCATGTCTCTGTGCATTGGCTTGTGCTGCTCCTGCTGTCTGAGTTGCCTTTCTCTTTTCTCAGCTTGGGAGATGCCCGGATTCCTTCACAAAGCCCAGTCACCTCCGTATCACGTATTCATTAGTTTGTGCATTCACACATTGATGCATTCAGCAATGTCTGCGGAACCCCTCATGTGTTTAAGTCCTACTCCAACTCCTGCCCCCCGTCTCTCTCTTTTTCTTTCTGTATGTCTGCGACTCTCTCCCTCTCTCTTCGTCTCCTTCCCATTACTTTTCCACTCGGGTATGGGAAGGTTGGACTTTCTCAATGACCTGGTAAATCAAAGTGTCCATTCCACCCAGGGACCAATCAGGTTTCAGGTTACCTTCAAAGGAGTGATCATGCTACGCTGCGCCTGCCTCTGAGGCTCTTTTTTAGCTACAAAAATACTTACTGAAAAAATTCTTTTGGCCTGGTTTCAGGGTTTGAGAGCCTTTCCAGAAGAATAGTCTCTCAGTATCTGACATGTTGCTGTATTATGTACCCAGATTAGGTTTTATATTAAATTAACCACACATAATCTGGATGGAGTTTCTACTGCAGCTAAGTAATCTAGATTTTTGTCCCATGAGGAGTATCACATGGACTTCTGTGCAAATTCATCGTTGCTCTGGACTGATTCCCTAATTAAATGCCTGCTGGGCTCTCTCTCATCTGTTCAAGTTTCTTTCTTCCCAGGAAAGGGTTCTTTCTCATTGACTCCTTTAGTAAAGTACAGTGTAACTCTGCAGCTGCCTCCCCCCAGAAAAGACTGTGGCCCAGAGTCTCCTTGTTGTTGTTTTTTCTCTCCACTGAATTGAAAGAACTTTGCACTTTCTCTTTAGACCAGCAGGCTTCAGCGCGTTTCAGTTTATTTTTAACTTATAAGTGGTGAAGGTTAAGCACTTGGAATCTAAAGTACAAACCCTAAGCACCCAGGAATGCAGGGATTTATTGTTCTGCTTCCAATTACAAAATATCCTTTGTCCCTGCACTTCTAGAATTTTCTGTGTTTCAGTCACTCACGTGTTACTCACTGTATGCCTGGGTTGTATGTATACATGCGGCTGTCAAATTTAGAGTTTGAGAGGGTATTCTTGTTCATTAACTCCAATGACTAGGTACTTTTTCTTTTCTTTATTATTACAAAGATAGCATCTGCTGTACTAGGACTTACTGCCTGAGAGAGGAGCAATAGTGTTTTAAAATAATTTCATGTGCCAATGTCAGTTAGCTTGTATGGAGTGCCTGGGGAGCTGTGTTGAGAAGAATTCTGAGTCCAGGAACAATGCTAATTGATCAGTAACGTTTGCCTTGAGTATAGAGTAGAGACCTGGAGGCCAACATATGTATTTGCTGTTCCTGGTCTAATTAGAAGATATTTATGTTCAATTCAGTATAAAAAGAATAATTTTATTTAAAATGTAAATGGCAAGAAAATAACTTTTAAGTAACTTTATTTAAGGCAGTGCACATCCAGAGACTCAACAAAGGCCAATCCCTGTATCAGGCCAGGGTGGCTGAGTCTTGTGTGGACATGATGGTCTTTCTTGAGTCGAGTGTGTCCTACTCCCAGGCTGACTGTGCTGATATTTGGTCCCATCTGTGTTACATAAGCAGAGTAATGTCCCCGAATCTGTGAATATGCTAAATTACATGGCAAAGGGGAATTAAAGTTGCAGGTGGACTTAAGCTTGCTAACCAGCTGGCCTTAAGATAAAGGGAAAATCCTGGATTATCAGGGTGGGTCCAGGGTAATCACAGGGTCCTTAAAAGTGGAAGAAGTCAGAGATGGTACCATGAACAGGACACAGTTCAGCTTACCTTTCTGCCCAACATTGCTGGCTTTGAAGCTGGAGGATGAGGGCCTGGTGCCAAGGAAGGAAGGCAGCCACTGGAAACTGGAAAGGTAAAGGAGACAGATGCTCCCCTAGAGCTGCTGGAAAGGAAGATAGTCCTGCCAAGCCTAGAGTGTAGCCCAGTGAGACCATTTCAGACTTCTGAGCTACAGGACTGTAAGATAATACATTTTTGTTGTTGTTTTGAGCCACTAAGCTTGTGGTAATTTGTTATGTCAGCAAGAATCCAATACACTGTCTAGGTTACCTCAATCTAATGATAACAGTTACCACTAATGTCTAGTGCCTGGCACTGTTGATAAGCATTTTATAAGCATTGTCTCAATTGGCACATACAGTCTTTCTATGAGGTGAGCACTGTTATTTATCCCTACTTTACAGATGGAGATGTAGAAGCTCAGTGATATCAAGTAACTTGCCCAAGATGCAGAGCTAGTAAGGGTCAGAGGTAGGGCTTGGAACTCGGTCTCCAGGATACCAAAGGCCACGCCTCATTCACAACCCTCAGGCCCTTTCCTGGACCACAGGACTCAAAAGGCATTTGCGTTTGAAAGAGTGGGCTTAATTTTAAAATATATAACCATGGCATTGTATATACCAGCAAAAAAAAAAAAAAAAAAAGGAATTTGGAACAACAAAGAGTAGATAAAGTGTGGTTTCTTAAAACAATGGAACATTATGCAACAGTTGGAAAGGATGTATTAGAGCCCCTTCTGTCAACATAGTACCACCTCAAAATCATAATAATACCATCTCAAAAACATAACAAGAACTCAATTTTAGGTCACCCATGTAATTGGTTATTTATAAGGTGGAATCACAGTGACCTTTGGCTTTCGCTGTTAAGTATAAACCCACAGAGACCAAAACTGTGTATGAAAACCATTCAATTACCACAGCAGACTCTACTCAAACCCGAGTAACCAACAGTGCCCTATGACTCTATGACTCTGAAGTATGGGTTTGGGGAGTAAAATTTCAGCCTTGTGTTACAAGTAGAGCTTTGATGTTATTAAGAGGTTGTATTCACCATGTCATATCACGCAATTACTGGGGACTTACTTGCTTAAGCAAAATATGTAGTTTGAAGTTGAATAATATACTTGGAGAAAAAATGGTTTGAATTTCATTATTATACACAGATATACTGTTTCCTTACTACTTTGATCTTTGGGGACCAATTAAATACATCCGGTGAATTTGTAGAGGAATTCTATGCAATTCTTTATGTCATGTTTCCCAAGAATGCCAATTCACCAGATCATATACTCTTCAGCTTCAAACTGCATTCGTACCTCTGAGTTCTGTGGTTCAGGAAAGGGCCTGCGGGTTGTGAATGCTGCTCTGCTTTGTACCCCACACTTAGTCTGTATTCGTACTGAATAGATAGGTGGGTGGGCGGGTGTCTATGATGGATGGAAGGATAGATGGATTAATGAATTCTTGAATCTCTTAGTTCAAGATCTCTTGACTTGTGAAACCTTGTATATCCATCTGAAAAGTCTCCTTGCTTGTGTGGAAGAACAACTTATAACCTCTCGGTCTCCTCTTCCTTCTAGATGTCGAAATGCTTCAGGCCAGTACATCTAACCCAATCTCTGGCGAGGGCTTCTCTCGGGCCACTAAGGACTCTATGATCCGCAAGTTTTTAGAAGGTCAGTTGCAGCTGAAAGCAAAAGAGAGAAAGAGGAACACATGTAAGACATTGCCTGGTTCCGTCTGAAGGTTGTTCCACTTAAGGAATGGGCTGCCATGTACATGGCCCATGAGTGATTGAAGACACTCTCTCCCCACAAGCTCCCTCATCAGCCTGTTACAGGAAGGCCAGAAGTTGCCACCACTGCAGCCATTCATTTAGATAAACAAGTCGCCTTCAGCAAGACCTTTTTTTAAATGCACATGTTTATTCTTATTTAAACAAAATTCACTGAGTACCTACTATGAGCAAAGCACTATTGTGGATATTGGGCTGGGGGACACAAATAAAAATAAGATGATTAGCATTTCCAGAGACTTTACTTTCCAGAGACTGGGAGAATATAGGGGAATATACGCTATTATTAAGTTGAGGCTGTATTGCGTAGTGGTTAAGAACACAGTCTCGATTCCTCCTTCAGTTAGCTGGAAAACCTTGAACAAGTTGCTCAACTCCTCTGGGTCTCAGTTTCCCCAGTTGCAAAATGAGATGAATGCTGTACAAAGAGTTATTGTACATTAGGCCTCAGAGCAGGGCCAGACATAGAACAGGTAATAAAGGTTTATTACTGTTGGTGTTGCTCTTCTTCTTATCATTATTGAAGGTGTCAAGGATGGAAGGCATTACATTATATGAGTAATTCCTTAATTCTGTTCAGTCATTTATAATTTATGGTGGGGTCTATTGATCAAATAGGTGTAGAAAGCAGGGTGCTAAGAGCATAGGACTCAGGATGGAAAAAGTAGTTTTGACAGTGAAGAGCAAAGGGAAGTTGTAAGCAGTAGTAGACAAATCACAGGGAAGCCCAGAGCAGTTTCCCCGCAGCTCAGAAGATGTAATGAAAAATTCCTAATAAATACTAGACTAGAAATCCCATAGAGAGAAGATCCAAGCTTTATTTATCCCTGTATCTCCAGCAGACATTTAATAAAGATTTGATGGCTGAATGGTGCTAGGGAGAGGAAAGCACCTACTATGCGTATATACTGAACTGGATGTTTTCCCTTTATTATCTCATTTTGTCCTCACAGTACTCCTGCGAGTAGTTCTCGGGGAAATCATGCTCAGAGAGGTTATATAACATGTTCAAGGTCACACAGCTCTTATGTATGAGGGGCGGATGGTACACAGGTCTGCTGAGATTCCCAAAGCCAGTGGACATTGTATTTGGTTCTGAGCACAGAGCTTTTCAGCCTATCACTAGGAATGAGGCAGAGAAAATCTGAGGGCTGTGGGACTCCAGGGACAGAAGGTGGGAGACAAGCTTCGGTCCTAAATCTTCTGGTTGATGGGGAGCACAGCGACTGCAAAGGTTGCCAGAGAAACAATAGAGTGTGTTGGTTAAGAGCACAAGCTCTGGAACCAGCTTTCCTGGGCCCTGATCTGGCTCTAAGTGATTCTGAGCAAGTTATTTAAATCCCTCAGGCCCCAGTTTCTTTATTTGCAAAATGAGAATAGTGATTGTAGTCACTCCACAGCGTTATTATACAATCAAAGGAAATAATGTGGGTAATACACTTGGAGCAGCGCTGGGCACAGAAGAAGACCTCGGGAGGGGTTTGCTATAGTTATTTCGATGCTGAAGATGAAGCTGCTGGAGCTGTTGGTGGCGAGGCCTCCCGGCCACCCTCAGTGCTACCCAGGCTTAGGGGCTGGTTCCAAGTGTCCTTGGGCTTTGGGGCTGTACTCCTTTTTCCCTGCTTCTAATGGGGCGAATAACTGAATCTCAGCAGTAAAATTGAGATAATAGAGCCTAAAGCTCACTTCCTTTTGCGGCACTGATCGGGGCAAATGAAGGTGACAGCAGCGTTTTCTCAGCTGCTTTGCATGAGGTTCTTGGCCACGCTTTCAGTCACCGTTTACTATGTTTCTAGGCAACAACGTGGGAATGGCCAGTTTGGAGAAGGAGCTGTACCATCACGATCCAGATGATGTTTATCACACAGTAGAAGATGATGAGGCCTTTTCTGTGGACCTGGCCAGCAGGCCCCCGGTCCCAGTACCCAGGCCAGAGGCCAGTGCTTCTGGTGCGCACCAGCTGCCCGACAATGAACCGTACATTTCGAAAGGCAAGTGTGGCAGGGAATGATGCCTAGTGGGGTCAAGCCTCTTGCTTAAGATCACATGGCTCATAAGTGACAGAGCCGGGATTTGAATCCAGGGAGTGTCGTGCAGAGCCCACGGAGCCCTAACCACTATGCAGATCTATCAGTAGGTGGACATTGGTCACTCCTCAGTTTTCCCTATTAGCCTTTATGGGACTGCCCCTCATGAGTAACTTCTTCTAAATTCCTTTGGAGCTCTGGACACATTGTACTCATTCCACCACTCCAAGTTCTGTCTATGGCACTTGCTGACATGTCAAGTATCACTTCCTATGATTTTCAAGCTCCAAGGTGTTATATGCTAGCTTCAGGCATTCAGGGATCCAGCGTACATCCTTCACGCCACCCTTCTCTCTAATGATCTGGCCTTGTCCTTCAGGGTTTGAGACCTTGTCTGTTGGTCTGCCTTCAGTTCCTAATCCCTGCAGCTTCTGCTCATTAGTTGCTCCTCTGAGAGTTTCAGTTTACAGAACTGCATACAGTGGTCCAAGGCATGAGATTGTTATGATTATTAATTTTGTATAAGGTTTTGGTAATTTTTTGTAAATGTATTAGATAATTTAAAGCCTTTTAAAAAGAGATCTGATTTAGCTTTTACCTAGAATACTGTTTATCTCACAGTTTTTGCAGAAAAAAGTCAAGAACGGCCTGGGAATTTCTATGTTTCCTCAGAGAGCATCAGGAAAGGTAAGCCAGTGGTCCTTGGCTTCCTTTTGTCTGACCTGGACTTCCAGGTGGTAGAAGTGTTCATGTTTCAGTGACTTCCAGGTGTCACAGTGACTCCTTAGTTAACATTGATAAACAGGGAGGTCCTGGAGATACCTTGGGTGGAGCTGTCTGAGAACCCTGTACTGATGGGAAAGGAAGAGGAGAAGAGATTGAGGTGCCCATGCCCACGAATATTGCACAAATTGATCATACTAAGGATATTAATACTCTAGAAAGTAGCTGTCACAGCAGACAAAGGTACTATCTGAGCATTGAGATCAATCTCAACAGGATGAAAGTGGGGGTCCAGCATCTTTACCCAATGATATAGTCCTACCATGCTACTTACTTTATCTATCCTTGCTAAACTGTACATTAATTCAACTCTTATTTAAGAGACATTTTGCTTGCCATTGGGTAACATTCTTCTTTTTTTTCAAAAGACTTTTTAAAGATGTTTGTGGAGATAGGTGCTCTTTTCTTCCTGGTTAATTTCCTTGTGCTAAACACAGGCATTCAGCGTTATCCCATTGACGATTCTTTAGAAAAGGAGTGATGACACCATCTAAGCATGGGAAGGCATCCCTAAGGACTTTGATTGTAGATGGGAATTGGTTGGTTTGTACATTGTGTCTTCTCCCCACACTTCATCTCCCAGTACAATTAAAGACAGCCTTCAAGAGGGCAGACCTGGGAGAAAGGCATGTGAGTGTGTGTAGACAGATGAGTGAATAGTTGGGAAGACTGATAGATGAACTTCTTTGAGGTTTTTTCAATACCTACTAGGGAAGCCATTTCTCTTTTTCTTTCTTGCCATCTCCCTGAGTCACAATGCCCAAATTGGGTCCTGCTGGAGACATGTAGAATCAAGGATAACCCCACATGAACTGAGCAGTAAAATGTCAAGTTGTCTTCCCATGTTCCAGGGGCCCCATCACCTTTGCAAATAGCTCATTCCCTTTACAACTTAGTGGAGTGACAGCCTGGGGAGATAGAGGAGTTGACTTCATATTTCACTCGAATCTCCAAAGCAGAAAACTATGAACTTGTGATGTGGAGGAGAGGTTGGCACAACCCAATGAGAGCTAGTTGGGACCCAGCACCTAATTTACACCTGGTGATGTTGGACCTGGGTCATGATTCCATTGGTATCCCTGTTTCCTTGGGCATTTCATGCTCATGGGTCCACCATCCTTGTGCTCCATGCTGCTCAGCGGCAGGGAGGAAGGGGACAGCTGGGAGTGTGGGAGAAGCATCCTGGCTAGATTTTCCTGTAGATTCTCTTCTGGGAGTCGATTTTAGTCTGAAGCAGTGGTTCTCAACTGGGGGTGCTTTCTCCTCCCCCACACACCCAGGACATCTGGCAATGTCTGGGACATTTTTGGTTGTCGCAGCTGAGGAAGGGGGAACTATTGGCATCTAATAGGTGGAGGCCAGGGATGGTGCTAAACATCCTGCAGTGCACAAGACAGGCCCCCAACAACAAAGAATTATCCAGTCCAAAATGTCCATAGTGCCTGGGTTGAGAGATGCTGGTCTAAAGGCCTCTCAGTAATTCAGGCTTGAGAGATTTTATTCACTCATCAGCAGATTTCAGACCTCCCTAAAATGTTGTGGCCTTGTCTACTTTAGCGTAATAGGCTTTGAAATTATTAGCTGCTTCCCTCTCTTCCCATATCATCTGTCCCGCTTGCTAGGTTCCACATGTAATTGTTCTTTTGAGACTCGTCCTCTGGAGCCTGTGACCAGCCTTGTTAACCCTGCTCATGCGGTCGACTCCCCCAGTGGGGGAGCTGTGGAGCTGAGTTTTGCCATCCTTTCCAGAGCCTCCTGTCAGACCGTGGAGAGACAGGCCCCAGTCAAGTATATACGACCCTTTCGCTGGGATGAAAACGCCAGGCCAGCGGCAGCTTATTACTCTCCAGGAGCAGGTGAAGCTGGGCATTGTCAACGTGGACGAAGCTGTGCTCCACTTCAAAGAGTGGCAGCTCAACCAGAAGAGGCGGTCTGAATCCTTTCGCTTCCAGCAGGTAACTGGCTCCGGGAGGAATTGGTTTCATGACTGTTTCTCCTAGACGGGAGTGGAGGGCTCAGTCCACAGCTGTCTTTTGTATGGCTGTAACTGAGCCCCTGTGGCTGGGCCTGTGAACGTTTTTTTGAGCGTCATCAAGAGTCAGTGCATATGTGTAGCTGTCACCTGTAGTCTGTAACCACCACAGCTCCCTGGCTGAGAGTTGGGTGGCGTTTCTGGTTGTCTCGAGGCTAGAGAACAGGAACAAAGACCCAATTGTAGATCCCAATTCTGTGGATGCTGCTTCCCTCCCCACGTGGCCCTACGCTTTTGTTTTCCAGCTTTTTTTCTTTTCAGAGTCCCTCTCTCTACTCCTAGTGGCAAGACTCCCACTGAACTAACACACTTTATTTATTTATTTATTTATTTATTTATTTATTTATTTATTTATTTTAAATATATCTTTATTGATTTCAGAGAGAGGAGAAGAGAGGGAGAGAGAGAGATAGAAACATCAATGATGAGAGAGCCATTGATCGGCCACCTCCTGCACACCCCCAACTGGGGATAGAGCCCGCAACCCGGGCACGTGCCCTGACCGGGAATCGAACCCTGATCACCTGGATCCTAGGTTGACGCTCTACCGACCGGGCTATCACACTTTAGAACTCAAAGAGAATTTGGAAAGCTCTCAAGAAATACGATTAAATGAATAAAACAAGTCATAGATATAAAACCACCCAAGTTAAAACATACACACACACAACTTCTAGTGTTTCCCTATTGCTTCCCGGACCAAGCTCGGTCTCTCAGGTACAGTTACAGCCCAACGCACCTTTGCGGTCTGGCCTCTCTCATGTGAACCTTCTATGTGTCTGGATTTAGTCCCTGGAATGCTCAGACTCTTCACTTCCAGGTGGTTGTTGTTTACTGACTAGAATAGCAACACATTTCCACCCTCACCGGTCTGTTCAAAGTTTATTGAATGGCTCTAATAGACCACACTTCAGGATTACAGAAAGATACAGGACCTGGTCTTGCCCTTCAAGAGTACACAGTGCCTCTGAAGAGTGCACGCACGTGTGGGCATGTACACACACACACACACACACACACACACACAGAAAGAGAGAGTCAGAGAGAGAGAGAGGCAGTCACTAAGGACTGGAGCAGTGTGGGGAGGCTTTAGGGAGAAGGTGAGCCTTGATCCCAGGCCTGCAACAGATTTATGGAGAGCAATCGATGTCCTTCAAGGTCAGGGGAATTGTGTGAGAACATAATCTCTGAGGCAGAAATGTGCATGGAGTGTTTGTGAACAGGTAACAGACCGGCTTGGCTAAGGGGCATACAAGGAGGATGGCGGTGGGTTATAAATCTGGGAAGGAGCTGGGAACCAGGGGGAGGGGAGACACTTTGTTGTAGACAAGGTGTCTCTCTATTCTCTTCAGGTACTTGGATTTCTCTGGGGGCGAATTGCAAATGCACTCAGCCTCATTTGCATGTTGGAAATGTTATTGCAATGCGATGTGTCTTACAAACAGCATAAAATCAGAAAGAAAGTCTAATGCCTAGAGGATATAATTCTGACGCATACTTTAAAACAATTTTTTTCCCAGGAAAATCTTAAACGGCTAAGAGATAGCATCACCCGAAGACAGAGAGAGAAGCAAAAATCAGGAAAGCAGGCAGGTATGTGACTTCCTGGGGGTGAGGGACTTTGCTGTAATCTGCTGTCCTTGACTCTCCTTTCTGCTGGGGCCTGAGCGGGCAGACTGCTTGCCCAGCTCCTCTCACCCTGTTTACATGTCTCCGTCCCCCACTAGACTGAAGTCCTTTTGAGCAACAGCTTTGTCTTGTTAATTCTAGATGTCTAGTACCTGTAACATAAGGCATGTCAGTCAGCAAGTAAATGAGTGGATGGCTTGAACTCTTGCATCCTTCTACCCTCCCACTCAAAGAGGATGGTAATGCCTTCTCCCCAGGCGCCAACTCTCCCCTGCATTCAGGAAGATATGTTTTTTTGAGCAGAGAAAGGAGAAAACCCCTTTTGCGTAGTATCTGCTTTGATTCAAGCAGGGAATTGTGTCGTCGGTGTCCACACCACACACTGCTTCAGAAGCCCTGGATCCAAGCGTAGCAGGGCTCCTGTTGCGTGTCGTGGGGGTCCAGCTGCAGGGCCATGAATTCTGGTTGTGCACACTGAGGACCAGTTCCTTCTGTTCTCCTTCACCCATCCCCCCCAGGTGCTACCCATGTGGTACCACCACCCCTGCAAGGCGTGGGCATTTGCCTCCACGGCATAGTCCCACCGAGAACCTGTGGCATGGTAGGTCTCTATGGGTTACCATGGCCAGCCTTATACCAAGAGGAGCTGGCCAAAAAAAAAAGACTCTCAGGGACTCTCAGATTTTGAATGGATCCTCATTACATAAAGAGTTAAGTTTGTGTATAAGTTCCATAGTCGGTTTTCAGCTGCCATCAACAGCCTGACTTTCCATGAACCTGGTCAGGCTGGTAACACCCCAGTCTTCAAACAGGACATCTTCCTGCCACAAACCCCTTGCTCAAGCCTGTCCCTTCTCACCTGTATGAAAATTACTGGGCTGCAAAACCCAGCCTGGCAGCCCTTCATGGTGAAGCCTTCCTGGACCGCTCCAGACCACTGTGTTCCTTCCTCGCTTGAACATCTATAGAATTACTACCTTTCCATTCATCTGATACTGCCTCTGATTACTGCTACGTCATTCCTTCATTCAAACCATCAGCAATTCCAGAGCTCAACTTAAATCCGCTCATTTCTGACCATCTCCCACGTCATAGCTGCAGCCAAATTGCCATCACCTTTTCCTGGACTAATGCAGGAGCCTCTTCCATCGTCTCCCCATGTCCATACTTACTCTTCTACAGTTAATTCTACAAACTGCAGCCAAAGACCTTGTAAAAACAAATAATCAGATTGTACCACTCCCTTGCTCAAAATTCGCCAGGGGCTCTTGTCCCACCCAGAGGAAAATCATACTCCCTCACTGTGGCCTCCAAGGTCCTACAGGATCTGCCCCCTAAACTCATCCCCCATTTCCCCCCCATTGTGCTCTCTAGTTGCAATGGACTCCTGTTAGATGCTCTTTCAAGCCAGGAGCGTTCTCCCAGGGCCTTTGCACTTGCTGTCCCATCTTTACCTCTTTTCCCACATCTTCACTCGCTGGCTCTTTTCACCCAGCGCTTGGCCATAGACACACCCAGAACACAAATATTGATTGCCTTCTCCTCAGAGAAGCCTTCTCTGCCATTCTCCCCAGAACAGCTGCCACCACTCACTTCCGGGCCACTGCTTACCCTCTCTTTTCACACATCACAGACTGGAATGATCCTGTGTTCCTGTTCTCATGCTTATCCCCCCCCACCCCCCACCCCCAC